TATTACACAGGCAGATAAGCCAATTTCTCATTTTAAAAACATGCTGTACAGAGTCCTGTTGATTTTAATCACAGTATTCAACAAGTAGTTACACAGTGTGAATAAGAATGGCAGAATCTGGCCCCCAACATGCAGAATCATAACTACTAATATATAGGTTAGAGCAGGGGTTCTCAAACTGTGGTTGGGACCCCAAAGTCGGTCGGGACTGGGTTTTAATGGGGTCACTAGGGCTGGTGTTAGACTTGATGGGGCCCGGGGCCAAAGCCCAAGCCCAAGCCCCCCCGCCCAGGGTCAAAGCTGAAGCCCAAGGGCTAAAGCCCTGGGTGGCGGGGCTCAGGCGCCAGCCCTGGGCAGTGGGGCTCAGCTTACAGGCCCCCTTCTAGGGCTGAAGCCCTTGGGCTTTAGCTCCTCTGCTCAGGGTGGTGGGGCTCAAGCTTTGGCTTTGGTCCCTCACCTGGTGTGGCAGGAGTCAGGTGGTCTCAGGCTTTGTCCCCACCCCCACCCCCGCTCCTCGGGTTGTGTAGTAATTTTAGTTGTCAGAAGGGGGTCATGGTGCAATGAAGTTTGAGAACTGCTGGAGCTATAGCTATTGGAATGTACCTTGGGATAGACTTGATTAAATTTACCTAAATAAAGATACATCAGAGACTAAACACAATTATTTGTAACCTGAAAATTTATTTTAATGCTAAGACTCATTTATATTCATTTATTTAAATGGCACAACTTGTTACCAAATTCTGACAGAAAATATCTAAAATGAAAACTGAGGGAATAGTATGTTATATCCGTATGGACTTGTACTCTGGAAGATGTTTGTATAGAGTCACTGACCATCTGTTTCATGGAGTTATGCCAAAAATGTATTTTCACTGTAGATTTAGGTGCTTGATGCGAGCTAATAAATAACCAGGCAATTATTGCACCATCCTCTTCAAGTACACTGTAAATATGAGCTTCCCAGCATTTGTGAAGATAAAAAATGCATAATAAAATGTTTGCCATAAGTAAATCTTTTAGAGATACTGCAGTTTTAATGCCTCTTGTTTTGGTTGCTTGTGCCTAATTTTTCTCTGACGTAATTCAGTTGACTTAATAGAATTGCACCAGGTATAAATTTGGCCCTAGGTCTCCTTGGAGTATTTCAGTTGAAGTCTATTTTCCTTTTCATGGGCTAACGCCTGGTCACTGTTCAAAGCTCAAATGAAGAGATCCCAGGCAGGAGAACGCTATGGGAGATTGCATTCTTCTTCACAGCATGGTATTCTCATAACAAAATAAGAACATAATGGCCATACTGGATCAGACCAATGGTCCATCTAGCCCAGTATCCTCTTTTCCGACACTGGCCAATGCCAGGTGCTTCAGAGTAATGAACAGAACAGGGTTATTATTGCATGATCCATCCCTTGCCATCCACTCCCATCATCTGGCAGTCAGCAGCTTAGCGATATACAGAGCATGGGTTTGCATCCCTGACCATCTTGGCATCCCTTGAGCATTCTTTTTTGAACCCAGTTATACTTTTGGTCTTCACAACATCCCCGGCAATGAATTCAACAGGTTGACTGTGTGTTGTGTGAGGAAGTACTTCCTTTTGTTTGTTTTAAATCTGCTGCCTATTAATTTCATTGGGTGACCCCTGGTTCTTATGCTATGTGAAGGGGTAAATAACACTCCCTTATTATCTTTCTTCACACCATTCATGGTTTTATAGATCTCTATCATATCCCCCCTTAGTCCTCACTGTACAGTCCCAGTTCTTTTTAATCTTTCCTCATATGGAAATTGTTCCATACTCCTAATCATTTTTGTTGCCCTTCTCTGTACCTTTTCCAATTCAAATATATCTTTTCTGAGATGGAGTAACCAAAACTGCACACAGTATTTAAGGTGTGGGCAGACAATGGCTTTATATAGAGGCATTATGATATTTTCTGTCTTATTATCTATTCGTTTTCTAATGGTACCTAACACTCTGTTAGCTTTTTGAACTGCTGCAAAAAACTGAAAACAGTGTAATAGAATTTCTGGTATGGTACTTTGACTATTTGGGAATTTGTGGCAAAGGAACACACAGTTAATACAATTAAGTTATTTAACTGTAAATGTTGCTTACTGTATAATGCGTGTTTCAAGAGAGTGTCTGAGACATGGATTAAGTCTGCCTGCATGGTACCATATAGTCGATGGAATTAAACATGCCCTAATACTTATTTGCAGTGTAATGCTAGTCTTTAAAATCCACTATGTACATATTTTATGCAGCCTACAACTCATCTCTGCAGGATCAGTCCCTTAGGCTATAACAGTTCCAGGTAATTATTAGACAATTTATAACATGTATAAATATAAATGGTCAGCATCTATAGGCTTTTTCTCAACAGTTCCTTTCTATTCAGACAACAAAGAGGGCCAAATTTTGTCTGACCTGCATGAGTGCCCTTCCCCTACTTGTGCACCAGTTCAAGGGCAGCCATTATACCACATACTGAATTCCCTGAGCACCAGTAGACACCCTGAAAGGGGAGAAATAGTGCATAGTCACACCTTATCTTTCTGCACTGCCTTGTGAGATGCAACTAGCAAACGAGAAATTCATGTTGCGCTCACAAAGGCTGTATAGTAACCTCTTCTGAGTGCCCACTGTTACACCATCATAGCCATCCTGCCTGCCATTGTGCTTAGCAGATAGGATAGCTACAGGGACTTGAGCTTGTGTGCTTTGACTTCGCACACAGCATAAGCAGGGCTGTGTCTTGGAAAGCCACAATACAAACCTGTATATTTCCTGAATGCATATTTACACAGAAATGGAGTTGATATAGTCTGATGGATAAATATTGTTTAACAATATCTAGAAACTTCAGTGTTAGGTTTGAAACCAAGTCCTTACTATTCCTTCTTCCTTATGTCACGAATATTTGTTTTATTTTCATTTATTTCAACATGAAACATAATAAAAGAACACCTAACCCAGGCTCAAGGCCCCTTAATAAAGAAATATAAAAGGAACTCAAAGGCACAAATGGCAGCAAGCCAACAATCTTCGCAAAGAAAGCAAGTCCCTAAAACTGAAATTTCCTGATCTAAACACCCCAAAAAACCCCACACTCCCACCAGAGCCTCAGACCTCCCCAGACACCTGCCCAAATAGTTGGACTTTTCAGTATACTCTAAAGGTCAACAACCAATTAGGGCTGTTTCAGACCAATCAGAAGAGTGAATTCCATAGTTGAGGTCCCTCATTAAGAGTATCAGTCCTCTCTTCCATATCCCACGGGAGTACCAGCTTGAGCACCTCTCAACTGTTGAACAAACTCTTGAGAAGAGAGACAGTCTGTCAGGTTTGCTAAGTAATGTGGTTTGCTGGCAGTGTAGCGGAATGTTACTTTACGAAACCTGGTATTGGCACATTCCAGGCACATTGGCATATTACTTTGGGATTGTACCTCTGTGTCCAATACTACATTACAATCAGAGGGTTTTAGACTAGTGAATGGACTTTCAAAACAAATGAAGGGTGTAGGTTTTCTGTCAGTTCTCTGAGCTCTCTTTGTGGGGAAATTCAATGTATGTGTTTCCTGTGATTAATGTTAGGAGCCAAACTCTACTTCCAGTAAAGCCTGTGAACCCTACTGAAATCAGCTACACAGATTTAGCTGACAACAGAGTTTGTCCATAAGTGTTTAATTTGGCTGTGATGCTGGTGATTATGTATTAAGGGGAAACACCTCCCTTTTATATTTTTTGATAAAGAAATTCATCTATAGTGTGTGATTTACACAAGTACCTCTTATGTGTCCAGCACTTGGATATTTAGAGGAACTATCAGTGATCTATAGTTAAAGTACAATACTGAGAGTCAGGCTACCTGGGTTCTATACTTGGGTTGGCTACAGACAGTTTGTGATGTAGAGCAAGCCACTTAATCTGTGCATCATTTTTCTCTTGTGTAAAATAAAGACAAGAATACTCCCTATCTCCTAGGTATTTTGTGAGGCTAAATTCTGTTGTGCTCTGAGATCTTGAGGATACATCATATGGTGAGGTGTTTACATCGTCTTGTTAGTCATCTGGGGGCCATTTGAACCACCTCACCATATGCTAAGTTGCTCTTTCCTTTTGTCATGATGTATTTTCCATATTCCTTCCAATACTGCCCGTTCTACCACTTCATTCTTTAAGTGGAATTACTATAAATTCCTTTTGCTCTATGGAAGAATACCAGAGTGATACAAGTCAGGCTGCCTTGTCATTTGCATATTTTTGTCTGACCAACTTACAACCAGCTATTAACATGCCACTGGCTGAGGCACTCTGCCATTTGCCCACTGAATTTAACACAAAACACACATTAAGGAAAAGTTATACACAGGGTACTTTACACTAACTTCAAGAAGTTGCCCACACATACATTACTGTGTTTCTGGGGCCAATTTTGTCCCCTTAGTGAGCACCCCAAACAGGACAAAAATAGAGAACTGCGGTGCAGTTCTACTGTGCAGAATGGGCAGGCTCAAGTCCACATCACCAACTTGCAGGAGAGAAGAGATCCACAGGTTTCCCTGTGCCCAAACAGCCGTGGAGTTTGGGAGATGGGGAAGGGGAGTAATAGGAGTGAATCCAGTGTACCAGTGATTACAATGAGCCTCTGGTTGTTCTCACCTACAAACATACACACAGGAGGAACACAGGAATCATGAATACTTCTGCTGCCTTTAGGCCTAGAGAGGAGGATACCTAAGTTCTCCCACAGACCCCATGAATCTCCTTGGTACACAGCCTGTTTATACTCAGGACTTAATCCCTAGAACTAAATCATATCATTTTTTAAAAGAAAGGAAAATTATCCTTTTAGGAACATATGTTTACTGAAGCCAATATGTTATCCTTTCCTTCTCCAGTAACTTGCTTACCAATATTTATTGCACTTTCTGAGCACCATCTCTTTAGTTCATCTTTATCTAAAAACAGATATTTTATTCACTTTCTAGTTCAATTTTGTTGGGAAATTGCTTGGACCAAGAGGAAACTCCTTGAAGAGGTTACAGGAGGAGACAGGTGCAAAAATGTCTATCCTGGGCAAAGGTTCCATGAGGGATAAAGCTAAGGTATTGTACATGAATTCTGATCTTAAATAATGTTAAGTGTACATAAAGTTATATATAGTGGACTCTTCTTAAAAGGTTAATTTACATTAAAAAATTACTAATTAAATTGTAGTAAAAAACTATTCTCATGTCTATCTTCTTCCAGCTATGGTTTGTTTGTGAAGCTTACTACTATAATTTGGACATGTGTAAATGCGCTTTGTGTAGTTTTATTCTTGTCCTCCATGCTGTTTAATATTTGTCTGGGGATGTTGCACTTTTCCCCTTTGAATATTTATTAGATAAGACATATTTGAAACAAAAAGTTTCAACAGCCTGGAAGAAAAATTTTAAATAGCACTGAAAGGAACACACTATATGGCACATGTTTCATCCTTTCTGTTTGGAATGTCCACTTGGTCGTGTCACTCCTCTGGAAGATGACTGTTTATAAAACTAAAGCAACTTTATTTAACTCTGAATGAAAGAATGTGACTGTATACTGTAGTGTACCTTATCATCATATAGTCTGATCTCGCTTCAACAAGCAAATAGTATCTGTTCATTCCAATGATCTATATTTTACATTGATATATCTTTTAGTGGCTCTGTCTGTCACCGGTGCTATTTGTTTCAGCAGTTAAAACGGCAGGGACAGGATAAATTAAAAACTAACCACCATTCTACTATTTTTATGAGTGACATTATTTGGTTTTGGTGACTCATTTCTTTCCACATCACTGGTCACATTGTTATTATCAGACCATTGGCAAAATTAAAAACAAAGAGATGAACCATCCAATACGATGTTATTGATATGAATAATATTATCTCTAGAATTTAAAGCCAAATTTCCCACATAAAATGTATTTCAATTTGCCACAGATTTCTTTAAGATATTGGTCACAGAAGGACTTTAATTATCTATTTGACAATCTCATTTTTATGACTTTATTTTTTTTATGACTTGATTACATCAAAGAGTTTATTTTCAGTCATTGACAAATAGAATATTTTATAATCCTTGAACCTGCTTCTGGTACTGTAAAAATATTGCTCTCCAGATCAGTAAATGCATATGCTGCTGAAGTGGCAATAATGTACATATATATTGTGTCTGCCAGCTCCTTTCCCAGCTACCCATTCAGATTATTATTGCCAAGAGCAGGAATGACCTGAACAGGGGTGTGTGAAAGGCCTGTTAGATCAGGAAGTGTTTGGACATAAACAGGCAGACTAAATCCTCGGATTCTTAGACCAGCCTATTCACCTATCATGTCTCATGAATCTGATCTGACAATCCAAGATATACTAGACATTACTACTTACTGCATGAGACAACACAAAGGGCTGGATTCTATGAGCTCCTGAGCACCGCAGCAAAATCAGAATTCAAGGTACCCTTCCTCCTTGGAAAACAAGACAGAATCCTTAGATGTTCTGGAATTGAGAATGGACATCATGAAAACTCAGTTCCATGAGACTGATGTATGCTATGTTGTTTCAAAGTATGGCAGTGATGAAAAAATTCTAGTAAGACAGGCCATCGTAAGTGACTGTCCGTTTAACCTTGTCATAATGACTGAAAAGAAAAGAAAATCCCCAAGTAATTAGAATGAACAATAAAAAAATTACCTGAAACACATGAATCATTGTTACCAGGATCCAATGAGAGGAAATTGGGGACAACTAATGGTGACTGTATAGCCAAAGTAGTTCTCTCAGACAGGATGTGCCAGGGACAGATCCTGGAAAAATTTGGTGGTGGGGGGGGGGGAGAGGACTTTATTATGAACAGAAACAATAGCCTAAGCCTTGCTACACAGAAAATGAGGGGAGGGAATTGCCATTTTCAAACAAGCTTTCTTGTAAGAAAACATCCACTGGCCACCTTTATGCAGTAAAACATGGAACTTTTACTGAGATTAAATATTTATCATTAGATTCGGCTCTGGCTTTTTGCACCATTCTGGATATAGTTGCCGAGAACAAGGCTTAAGAAACTCCCCAAGGATTCTCCAGGCTAGGGGAATCTCCAAACAGCTCCTATGTGATCTCTCTCTCTCTCTCTCTCAGTCCCTAGCAGTAGATGGCACAGCCTGGGTGCCACCACTGCTGTCTGATCCCTGGCTGTTAGAATAGTCCATTGGGTGTGTGGGCAGCTGTGCATAGAGTAGAGCAGCTGGCTAAATTAAAGCCACCTTTATTCCCATCTTCTCCAGTCCTGTGCTGGCTGCAGCTGGACTGAATCAGAGAACTGGGAACACAATTTTTGTGATATGACTGTTGGAAAAGATGAAAAATATACCTGCTCTGAAGTCCTTAGGCACATATTTTAAAGAGGTCTTATCTGCTGATTTGCCCTTTCCAAATCGATGAGCGTCTATGACAAACAAATATTGAAATGATGGAGTTGTCAGAGAATTTATGGATTTTGCATGGAGGAGGAATGAGAAATTGGAGGATTTGACAGTGGGGAGATTTATGCAAATGAATTAATGAATAAGAAGCAGGAAAACATACAAAGAAGGATGGGAATAACATTTGGAAATTGATTTGAACATAGGCTACAAACAAAGGACGATAGTGTGCCTGGCCCTAAGTAAGAAGGCTCTTCCTTTCTACCCCAGCCCTTTTGTACAGTTACAGCCCATGAACTCAGAGAGCACAAGAACTGTAACAAGGCTAGTGCCCAGAGTGGTGCTATCTAAAGTAAATGGGACTGGGAAGGGCCATCATCATCATTCTTGCAAATCCCAGAGGGATATAGCTTCCTTGCAGATTGAGCACCACCTAGATCAATCTCTAGCTAGGTTCTTAAGAAGCTTTGGCTGGATGTTCTGTCTGTGTTTGTCATTGGTGGTCTTATTGTGCCACAGAAACCTTTTGCATCCACGTGATCACCTACTATGTAGCAAGAACTGGAAAGGGTGGGTAGGGAGAAATCCTGCTCCTTCATCAGCCTGTGGGTGTTGCTCTGTCCTTAGAGGTGTTTGTGCACAAATACTGCACTATGTAATAGAGAATTGTTGTGGCTGTGCGCAACCCCAGTGCATCAGAAAGCATTGTGCCTCAACTGGGCACACTGCCTCGAAGGGTATCCCTTGCCCCACACAATGTATGTGTGACTCCTCGTGCAGGACAAATCCATTTAAAGTAGGCAATAAGACACACTCAAAATGAAGAATGTGAGCAGCTTCAAATGTACACTGTGTACCGTAGAAATTATGCACCTGCCACAGGAAGTTGTGCTGGGAACTGTAGGATAAGCACCCAGAGGGCAATGCTACGGCAAATGTATAGCAGAGCATTAATGGGCAACAGTCCTTTACCCAGTCAGCATGTCAAGAGTGGATACCCTGCACTTTTGTGATTAAACTGATACCACTGGCATAATTAGCAACAGTTCAATTTTCTGTGATAGATGCAGCCTAAGGGGACAGAGTAGCATAGTTTTAGACTAAAATAGCTCCAGTTAACACAAGAAGTTGCAATTACGATTGGAAGCACAGGGGATAAGGTTGTCTTTTAGATGCACTTTTCTCTTAGACTGGTTACCCAGAACTCTGGTTTTAATGTTGACTCTGCTCTAAATCATTGAATTTCAAAATGTTTAGTATCTAAATAACAGAGTATATTTTTAAATTGACTACAGAATGTGTTACCTAACCAGGGCTGCCCAGAGGATTCAGGGGGCCTGGGGCAAAGCAATTTTGGAGGCCCCTTCCATAAAAAAAAAGTTGCAACACTATAGAATACTATATTCTCGGGGGACCCCTGCGGGGCCTGAGGCCTGGGGCAAATTGCCCCACTTGCCCCCCCCTCTGGGCGGCCCTGTACCTAACACGATGGATGCAGCACTGATCAGTGTGAATTGTGTCCATCATAAGAGAACAGCCAGTTTCCAATGAGATCTTATGACAAGTTGAAATAACAGGCTCTCCATCCTGAGAACTCTCATTATTTTGCTGACTCATAGATTCATAGATTCATAGATTC